TGATGAAGGTTTTATGCATCTGTTAAAAACTGTGAGTCACACTGACAAAAGAAAGGCATTCTTTGTGGTGTATTTTGTTGCTTGAAGGGCTAAAATTCCAATGTTGAGTACAGAGACGCTTCCTTGTACACAAATGCCTGTTGTCTGATAAATAAAAATCTGATAAAAATGATTATGATAATCTGAGTAACATTTACCTCATCTGACCCTTTGAAAAAAAAGGGCTGTTGTAAGCAAGCGTTGTCTGATGTATGTTAAATAGTATTAAAAGTGGTTAACTTAAAACATTAAGGATTTCTAAAGTAAAAGAAGCCACATTTCTAAAATGTCTGATGTGTCAATGAACCTTTTTCACATAACTGATGCGTTTAACAGTCATCGTAATATTAAATCCTTGAAAGTTTTTAAAGTTTAGATTTTTTTTTAAACGTATCCATTTAGACATGTCTTATATCATCTTACAAAAACGACTTATTGCTTATGCAAGGTGTGAGGCTGATAGTAAATCTGACTTTATTTTTTCCTCTGACTGACGTCATTAGTCTCACACTATTTTTTCCTCTCTGAACGTCTTGATAACACCTTTGTGGAGTTTTTCTGCTATTAGTTTAGCAAATAAGATTGTAAAAAAATATATTTGTTGTACTCTCCCATTCACTGCGCTTTAAGTTTACCCAACCATGACGTCTTCCACTACTGAGAAACCCGAAAATGTGAAAAGAGTCTATAGAGGTTATGGTTTGGGAGTAGTAAAAATGCATTATTTTAAATGATAAATTACTCTTCTTTTTTGTTTAACAAGTAATTCTACAATAAAAAAATAATAAGAATTAAAACAACCAAAATTTTTTGGAGCTGATATTAAAGGTTTATTATACATCCAATCAACAGATGGTTATCTTTGAAACAGTATTTATAGATTATATACTGATTAAGTGACAAAAAGGACTCGAGTACTGGCTGCAGAAAATTAAGTTTTGTCAGTATGAAAATAAAACAAACGATAAAGCTTACAATTGCAATAATATTGCTAATGTATTGTAAGTTTCACAATAATACTGATTTATTCGAATTTTATTTATGTAGTTTTATGTAGTTATATAGGTATTGTTTATGTCAGAGATGCCCAAACTAGGGCTTGCGGGCCAAAGTTGGCCCATGATATCCTTAGATTTGGCTCACCATCTCACCCGAGAAGAGAGAGATAATGATGAAGATGGTTTAGAGCAGAGGTCTCAAACTGCCGGCCCGTGGGCCAATTGCCCCCAAAACATATATTTTTGAATCACTATTATTGTCGCGCAATCGCATTTAGCCACTTGTGGTTTTGACCTGGCTTCTACTGGACATTTAAAGTACTGTAATATGTTTGCGTTACTGTCAGTTTCTCTCAGCATGTGGTCGAAAGTAACACACATGCAGATTATTTCTGGGGCGGATTTAAACGTTGAAGTACATGTCCGGAAGTGCTCTTTCTTTAATAAAGCTTTCATTTTGAAAATATTCAATGGTCATTTGATTATAATTTGTTTTATACTACCTGCATTGAGTTGTACAAAAACATTTCCATGGCTTACACGTTATGATGGTGGTGTAAATATGATCATTTTGCTAATATTCGATTTAAATTCATTAGAAAATTTGACTTCATATTTTCCCCTTTGTTATAGTTTTCCAAAAAAAAAAAAAAAAAAAGATGTTGAGAAGAACAATTGCTAGTAAAGTCACTAATGTTACCCAATCTGCTTTCTGCTGTCCTAGCGCTATCTGTTAAACTTTTGGTCAAGCAACAATTGATTGGTGGGACAAAATAATAATAATAATAATAATAATAACAACAATAATAATATTGCCTATTATTTTACTGTAATATTTTCATAGCAATTTAAACTACCCCATCATTATTTACAATAAGAAACAAAAAGGAGCTTTGACTGCATATACTCTGTTGAAAAATATCTTGGTGCTTTAAATATATCAGGTTTCACTTTTTGTTTTGCTTGAATGTTAAAACAGCTCTCCTGTGAATTGTCAGTCACTGATATGGCTCCCTGCCAATTTGAGTTTGAGACCCCTGGCTTAGAGACTGTCATTTCTAATTGATGTATTTATTTATTATTATTATTTATTTTTTTTGTATTTTTTGTTTTTGTTTTATTGCTAAGCTACAAAAAGCTAACTGAAATTAAATGTTTCAATTAAATTTTTTTAAAATGTACATACTGGCACCCGACAAATAGAAGACAATGCAGAGACATAGGTGATCAAAAGAAGACAAAGGCAGATTCTGCTTGGCTGGTGTAATTAGCATTGATTTTTATATATATATATATATATATATATATATATATATATATATATATATATATATATTAATTAATACCATTTAGAATAACGTTTTCTATGTTTTTCAAATATTAGGAAATGAATTAGAAAATTACCCTTCATATGTAGTTTGGTTTATATAGTCTTGCAATTAATTATAATTAGTATTTGAATGGGTGCATATATTGTAGTTATATAAGAAAAAAAAAATCAAACCATACTCCTGTTCAAAAGTTGCAAGAGGTTTTTTTTACAACGACACAATAATAGCATTAAAAGCAAGACATAGCGACATCAACAAAACTCATCGTATGCCCTTTTTCCAGCTATTTAGATCTTAACTGCAGTGCCTAAAAGAACTGACGCAAAAGGAACAGCTGTAATTCTCCGAGCGTCCCATGACAGTCAGCAAGGTGTTCAGAAACAGACGTTTGCTCCACAGCAACAAAGCCTCCACAACATCTTTGAATGCTGCAGATGAAGTATTTGTAGCATTAGCGATCACGATAACAGATCCATGGTCATAAGACAGAAGATTAACAAATAGGCCTTTGGTGATTAGTGTAGTGAACTACATAAAAAAAAAACAAAAAAAACAAAAAAAAAAAAACTTATCACCACTAAATGTGCTGCCCTTCAAAGAGAGTCATGCTTACAAAGTGGGAAATGGCTAAAGGGAAAAGAGATGGGGAGATTAAAACTGTGAATATTGATCTACGGATAAAGGTGCTGCTTTGTCTTACAAAACGTCATGCTCAGATGTACAAAACAGGCTAGTCTGTGTACACACCAGTAGTGTAAATGTCAAGGTAAAATCCCGGAGCTTGACAGAGCACAAGACCCAGTGGGCCTTTGCAGGCCACCTCAGACCACACCTTACTCAGCACAGAAGACCTTGTCAAAAAGTAAACAGTGTCTGACTGTAAACACCTAGACAAACTGCATAAACCTGCTCAGCCCCCCTCAAAGCTACTGTAAACATTAACACAAGTCTACTAAGCCTATAGAGACTGGCTACGTGGAAAAGGCTAAACTATACTCTACAATTTGAGAGGGATATTTTTAAATGACCACAGTTGCTTATGAGCTTTTACTTTTAGTGTGAAGTGTTAAATACACTACTGTTCAAATGAATTGCATTATCACAACAATGCGAGTTTAATTTCATGAAAATTTTATAAATAAACCAAAGAGTAATAATGATAATCAGGTGATTACAGTAGACATTTGTTAGGTAAGGAAAGCAGCATAAAAAAATTGATGGATGCAGCAAGTGCTAGAGATCATTGCTTTTTGTTTTATTATTTCTTCATACCTTAATTGTCAAAGGGCAGAACATCTACACCTTTTACAAACTACACACCTTTTTCTACAGGGTATATGCGAGTTCACAGTAGAATTAATGGCCTCAACCACATTTAAAATTATACAAATAACCACCAAACTACAGCTTGCCTGAATCACGTATATACTTTACCAAAACAAGGAAAGAGAGTTGCAAGGAATTAATTAAACCTGACAAATGCTGTTTTTATTTTACTAAATGCTGACTCTAAAGCTAGAGATATTAATGGTTTAGGATATAAATAAGATATGAGAATAAGATATGGTTTAAGATTTTATATATAAAGAATACATGTAACAACAACATAATACATCATCACAAATAAATGTTATGAGCAATTCTAGCATTATGGATATGACTATTAAAAACTCAAAACATAAATATACATAGAAAGTGTATGTGAAGTTTGTATGTTAGCTTATATTTAAACATCTAATCATCTAACAACTAATCACAGAGTTATAAGATCCGAAAAATATTAATCTGTAAACAATTTTTATATTATAATATAATTTTGTGACCAAAAACGTTAACGAGTTTACAGTATACAACATAATAGAAATTCTTTGAATTAAACTGCACAACCCAAAAGAAACAATGCTAATCAAAAGGATAAGAGTTGATTTTATTTATTTATTTATTTATTTTTTATTTTTTTTTTATTATTTAACATTTTTGCATTTATGAGGGAAAAGCTTGGCTATGGAAATGACAGATGTGAAATTGTCACTAGTTTGACTTTGGTTCAAATATAATAGTTTGAAAACATTGACATATATGTTTGAGTATTTTTTAAAGCACTGCAAAATATTTGCTTACATAAAAAATGTAGAAACAGCTTCTCTATTTTGGTGAAAACTTGTAGCAAGGTTGACATTTGCATTCAATTAGAATACAGCAAATAAATTAGTTTACAAAAACATCATGATTCTGTCTTCAGAGCTTTTACATCATTAGTCTATTCATTGCAACTAAGAAAAAGCTCAACACGACTTTTATCATGGGTTTAACACGAGGGTGTTATTTGTTTTCGGCTAGCTATCAATAGTCAAGTAAAACTTGCTTTCTTCTGTGTGCACGTACAATCTATAAACAATAAACTTAAACAACGAGTTGGTTAATAATAAACACCTGCTAATCAACTCGATACACTGTATCGCTCATATTCCCGAACAAAATCAGTAATAATACTGCAAACAAGACATATCGATATTAAAGTGCACTTTGTTTCTATTTAAAATTTTAAAGATGTCAAATATGGAACTAAACTGATCCCTGCGCAACAGGTGAAAGGGAAAAACTTTGGCTCTTATATGATGTAAACCTTTACCTGTTCCACTGATGATGAAGGTGTGGCTGTCGTTTGCCAGATGGGCTACAATTTCACGGATAACTCCGGCGTTCATTTATTTTCCCAGTTTGTGTCTCCTAAATAAATTAAATTAAAACCGAAGCGACGTTAAGAAAGCGGAGTGTCCCAAAAACTTCTCCCATGACCAAAAGACGTCGCGCGCACATCGCAGCCGCTTCCTCCTCCTTCCTTACGTGTATTTTCCCCTGGTGTTTTTGCTTCCGAGTAAACCAAGGTCCCCCGTGACTCCGCTCCTCCACACGTCCATTTGAATTTCAGACGGCAGTCCTGGGAAGGGCCTGAGCTCGGCACGTTAATGACAAACCATGTGACGACGGATCAGGAAAACTCAGCGAACTGGGAAACACACTTTAAATCTTTGGCACGCAGGAAAATAATTACAGCAGCAGCTGCACAAATGACCGTCATGCAGCCTAGGCAGGTGTAGCAGGTGCATTCAAGAGGATCTGGACAAAACAGAAATAAAAGCTAGACTTCTTTGTACTATGTTAGTAATATTAAAGCATTTTATAAAAAGGGAACTTGAGTGGGATTTATCAGTGTGACCCACTAAAAGTTACTTTAAATGTTACATGGAGCTAGTGTAAATATCACTGGCTTTATCTTAGCATTCCTTCCCTTATTGGTTACTTGTGCTCGCAGTGTTTGCTTAATATTAATCAGTAGTCAGGACGTGTGTAGAGTGTGCGTTGCCTTAAGGTAAGCAAAAACTGGCCATTTCCAATGCCAGCTGAGGGTTAAGTTTGTAAAATAACTTAAAATAACTTTGTGACTGGCAGTCAAGTGAAGTTTAATGTATTGTAAATTATTAAATTTTTGAGGATGTAGCCTATAGCTATAGTTTGGTATTATTCTATATTTGTGAGGGTTACAAGTTTGAAAATGTTCTCACAAACACAGATGAACAATAAACCTGTCAAAAACTGACTCACAGTATGATGGCATTCAACTTATTCATATTTTAGGAGACAAAAAATAGTACAGGGGCCTAATCTTTTTTTTCTTGCTGTATTAAAGGAGTTAATTTAATAGTCCTTAATCATTTACTCACCCTCATTGTTATTCTAATGCTGCCTTCACTTGCTATTACTTTACTTTTCCCACAAGGGAAGTTGAGAATACAAGCATTTTTGTGTTCAAATTTGTCAGGACGAAATCAGGACGTCCTTTACGTCCTAACGACACCAGGTTTATTCTTGGCCATTTTTTTGTAAAAGTCTTAAAACTTTTAAAACAAAGAAATAACATTTAATTATGACTAGAATGTTTTGTCAAATTTGTTAACAACCTTATGCGTTCAGGGTGGTGCATTGGGTTGCACAATCGCCTCACAGCAAGAAGGTTGCTGGTTCAAGCCCCGGCTCTGTCTGTGTGGAGTTTGCATGTTCTCCCCATGTTGGCATCGGTTTCCTCCAGGTGCTCCGGTTTCCCCCGCAGTCCAAACACATGCAGTACAGGTGAATTGAATAAGATAAATTGGCCGTATAATGTATAGGTCTAAAAGAGTGTATGGGTGTTTCCCAGAGTTGGGTTGTGGCTGGAAGGGCATCCGCTGCGTAAAACATATGCTGGATAAGTTGGCGGTTCATTTCGCTGTGGTGACCCCTGATTAATTAAGGAACTAAGCTGAAAGGAATGAAGAAATAATAAACCTCATTCATTCACCTTATATTATATATATACTGTATGAGCATTAAATATGCTCAACCTTATATCTTCACCTGTATTTATCGACGCAGAACCCATTATACAAGTGTGCTCTTATAAATATCTGAGTGTTCACATAGATAGCTGGGGTACACATCAAGACAGTAATAGACTATTAAAATATTAGCTGACCCCTTGCACAGTTTTATTTCATGATAATGAATTATTGCCTTCTGGTAAACGATACAGGTTGCCTGTGTATAATTAGACTTTTGGGCTACGCAGTGGCGCAGTAGGTAGTGCTGTCGCCTTAAAGCAAGAAGGTCGCTGGGTCAGTTGGCATTTTTGTGTGGACTTTGCATGTTCTCTCCCCGCGTTTGCGTGGGTTTCCTCCAGGTGCTCCGGTTTCCCCCACAAGTCCAAAGACATGTGGTACAGGTGAATTGTGTAGGCTAAATTGTCTGTAGTGTATGAGTCTGTATGGATGTTTCCCAGAGATGTGTTGCAGCTGTAGTGCATCCGCTACGTAAAACATATGCTGCATAAGTTGGCGATTCATTCCACTGTGGCAACCCCAGATTAATAAAAGGACTAACTTGAAAAAAAATGAATGAATAATTAGACTTTTAAATATTGTAATATTTGTTAATTATTGAATGGTTGTGTTTTTTATGTCTGTTTGTTTAGTTTATGCAAATGTGGGCCTAGTGTCCAGAAAAAATGCATGTAAATGTTGCTGTTTATAAAACATAAAAAGACACTTTAAATAGTTTTTCATGTATATAAATAAGAGAAGTAAAGGTGATGTAGATGTTGTGGAGGAATAAAAAGCTAATAAAGAATACCAGTCAGTCACAGCAGCAGTTATTTTCTCCTTCACTTTGTTTAAATGGATAGTTCACAAAAATAATATTTTTACCATGTGTTCACTTTCTAGAGAACTATTTTACCTATCTATTTTTTAATCACTGTTAAAGGTAAAATAGCTTCTTTTTTATCTTTGAGAAACATTGTTTTCAAAAATTTTAATAATTTTCTCACGTATTTGTTGGCAAACTAGCGATCCTCTGCCCATCTTTGCTCCTAAAGAACTAGGACTTTCTTACATGCTGCTTTTGTACCATATTTTACAGTAGTTACAATCACCTTTTAACATCACCTGTTACAAATCACATCATTATTTACCCAAAAGGGTATATGCGGAACTACGCTAAAGAACTTTTAATGGGTCAGTAACCTGGGTTAGGCGTTTCCGGGGAAATGTATGGCATTGCAAAATCAGCACGTTTAAGGTCTGTTTTCTTTAAAAATCAGCAATGTCTACTGGCTGAGGGATATCCAATATAAAATAAGTGTCAGAGTGTACAAGAAGCACTGCATTACATTACGTTTTTCTTCACCATGTCTTTAAAATATAAACATTTAATTAACCCCAGTATATTCAACGGGGCTTCTCTGCTAGCCTGCCGATTCTGACGGGCGCATGCGAGTAAACAGCTTTTGAATCGTTTTACGCTTTAACAATTATATAAATGCCAAGGTCTTTTTAACTGCTTGTATTTAATAATACCACATCGATGCTGTGAAAGGAACCATAAAAAATAGAAAAAAAAGTCACATTAACCATTCACCAGAAATCTATCAGTATGGGAAGAAACCCTAGCTCCGCATATACACTATTTATTAACTTTTAGTATTTCTAAAATACATGAGGAACACATTGAATAATGTTTTATGTATTCTCTGCAATAAAATACAAGACAACGTAAATTTAGAAATTACTATTTTCTTTTTTTTTTTTGCTTTTTCAACTCTTACCCAACTTATTCTGATTTGGGGTTGTAGTTTTATACATGAGACAGAGTCTAACCTATTGTGTTTTATTAGTTTGTACAAATACACAAACCCTAAACCTATACCTTACAGTAATGCAAAAAACAGCTATTACTTTTGCATAGTGTGACAAAACTTATGATATATAGATGTTTTTGTCCCATCTACCCTCAAAATAACCCACATCTAGGGTTGCCAGCTTTGTTACAAGGAAATAATTTACATTAATAATTGAATAACATTTCCCAGGATTGTATTTTGTGATGCAGGAGTAAAAATACTTGATTTTTACTTGAGAGATTGATTTAATCCAAATCATTTAATAAACACAGTCGGAGTCAACTAGTAAGCTCTTTTATACATTTTCTTTCTTATGTTGTAAAATCTGTCTATAACCATTAGGATTTTAATGTTATTGCTTTGCTTCTTTTCAACCTTCTATTTCAAGCCCCTGTCAGATGATAAGCACTGTGAGATTGTTAAGTTAGAGCCTGCTAAAATAAAATATAACTACCCAGTGAACAGTGATGGTCGCCGATTCACAAATTCAGTTCATATGAAAAATAGTTAAATTGACTGGGAATTAAATTTGATTTAATTGTACGTTAAGATAACACAGCAGTTTCATGTCACAAAAATTGATACACAAATATTAAAATCTAATCACAAACATGGCTAATAAACTGTATTGTTAGTTTGTGAACTTGTTTTTATTTGTTATTTAATGAATTTAATTTTACATTAAGAAAATAAAGATATTTATATATACATATACATACATATAAATACATACATACACACACACACAAACACACACAGTATATAAAAATTGTGTTTTAATAAATTCAAATGACCTCACAAATGCAAGTGTAATCCAACACCTTATTTGCAATTATCATTTGTCAGCTCTGTCAGCAGCCTGCAGCATTATCAAATCTTGTGTAATACATATTGGCTTATTGTTTGCTGTAAATACTATTATATAAAATTTCCCTTTCTTTTTGACAGATTAATCACAAGTGCATTTCAAATAAATACTACTAATTAAAATACACTTAAACAAAATATAGTGATTGAAAATAATAAAGCCCTTATTTATCATAATACTAAAGGCTCTTCTTGAGGACAAAATTGGCATATTAGATTAATCAACAAACAATGTAAAATGTAACTGTGAAGTGTGACTGCAGAAAATTCAGCTTTGCCACAATATGAATAAAAGGCATAATAAAATATATTTTGACATTATATAATGTTTTGAATGAAATAAAGGCAGCATTGGTAAAGCCTAGACACAATATGACTGCACACTTTTAAAGTTTATCAGTTCTATTTTATTGATCTATTTTTAAGCCACAGCCATTTATTTTGTACACACAAAATCATGCAGAAGAATTTAACAGCAGTACATTTCCACTCCTACGTAGAATACTCGCACCAGGAAATGAAAGCAGAAACTGGAGGATGATCAGAATAAGCATGCTATTTTAAGTAGTGCAAATATTGACTATTTGATGACAATTGTGCTGTTACAGCACAGCAAGTTCCTAGAGGGAGATGACTAAGAGCGTTTATGCCGTGATGAGTTGATGTAAAAAAAAAAAAAAAAAGTGGAATGCATTTGTTGTTGTTTTTTTTTCTGACACACAATATGCCAGTTCCATAGTCATCACAACAGGGGGTTGATGTCACTGGTTCAGTTTCCATAGAGACCACACACTG